CTTTTTTCTCCAGTTTATCCTCTGAAGTCTGTGGCTGTCTTGTTGGGTTGCAGAGCCAAACCAGACAGTTATAGAGGTGCAGATTGACAGACTCAATAATTCCTCTGTAGAACTGGATCAGCAGCTCCTTGGGCAGTTTGAGCTTGAGTTTGAGCCAAATCACATGATCACAGGTGCTATCCTGACTTTTGACCCCTTCCTCATCCTGGACACCTCTGCTTCAAAAGTATTCATAATCCCTGATAATGCTAAACTCTTTTCATTGTGGACTAGGACTCCTGCAGAAAGCTATCTGTCCAGGGGACAGATAACAGTAAAAGTTACAAACATACTAGCATATGAAAAAGCTGCTTCAGATTTAGTCATCAAATATATTTTGAAAAGCAAACAGAGCAAACATGTGAGAATAATATTTCCATTTTGTTTTTAAAGACTCAGATTATGTTCTTTATGAATGATACATAATAGATCCGCTTCAAATATATACATATTATAGAGAGTAGCTAAGTATCCTTTAAAAATGTAAGTCCTACATACTTTAAAATGTAATGAAAAATTATATATATATATATATATATATATAGATAGATAGATAGATAGATAGATAGATAGATAGATAGATATAGATATAGATATAGATATAGATATAGATATAGATATAGATATATAGATATAGATATAGATATAGATATAGATATAGATATAGATATAGATATAGATATAGATATAGATATATAGATATATAGATATAGATATATATGCATATTGTTTCTAGCCAGGTTTTACCTACGTAAACTTAGTTGTTCTACAGCCCTAGGTTCTGTGAAATCTCATTCACAAGTTTCTGGGCCTTTTTTTCTGCTGACAAACTGCAACTCTGTGTTGCTCTCTGGGAGACTCAGATAGCTATTTCTGCCTCTTAAGACACACACACACAAGCTGCTGCTTATACCCCCTATTTCAACAAATTGATGCCATTAGAATTTCATTGCTATTGGAAGGTATTGTGGCCAACTTTTGGTAAATGCCACACATAATAATCACTGCATAAACCAACCTTTTTAAAAAAAGGTTCTTTTTTATATGTGGTAAGTAATCTTGTACTAATGTGTTTTTGGATTTCCATTAAGTGGCATATGCAAAATGTGTGAGAGGTGCATTCAAACATCGTTTAATGCTCTTATGAAAACAGATCCATTGTTTTGTTCTTCAGCACTTATAAAGGAAATTTACAATTGAGTAGGCACAAAATAGTGTAATCAAATTAGTTTCCTGTTAGCTCAAAATATAGCACTTCCTCATGAGTAATCATTCCATAGAAGTAAAATTATACAATTACACAATGAAACTTTATTGTGGCCTTTAGGGCAGAGAATAAAATAAAACTATAATTTAAAAAAATCTATAAACTTGTAATTATTAATAAAGCTAAAAAATAGACTTAAAATGCAATAACACTACATAAAAATAAATTAATATAGTAATAATTTAGTATATAGTATATAAGTTATAACAGTAATAAAGTGGAGTAAGAAGCAAGATGGCAGCCTATTAACATGACCCTGCATGAACTCTTGCTGCCTCATTTAATTGCTGTTTAAAACTTATTGTAGTGAGGTAATGGCATCTCTTATACTGTATATGTGTAACTTCCTGGGAGAAAAAAAAAAGAGAAAGGAATTAGACCAAGAAAAGAGAGAAGAGGAAAGGAGAGGAGGGGAGCAGAGAAGGGATTCACATAATTTACCCAGCACCGAAAATGTGAGCGCGCGTGCTTTCCATGCAGTGGTGAAATCCAAATTTTTTTTACTACCGGTTCTGTGGGCGTGGCTTGGTGGGTGTGGCTTGGTGGGCGTGGCAGGGGAAAGATACTGCAAAATCTCCATTCCCTCCCCACTCCTGGGGGAAGGATATTGCAAAATCTCCATTCCCACCCCACTCTGGGGCCAGCGAGAGGTGGCATTTGCCAGTTCTCTAAACTACTCAAAATTTCCGCTACTGGTTCTCTGAACTACTCAAAATTTCCGCTATTGGTTCTCCAGAACCTGTCAGAACCTGCTGGATTTCACCCTGGCTTCTGCGTATGCACCCGGCCTCAAATAGGTGCCTAAATAGGACAGCATAGAGTCGGACTGGGTGGGCGGTCCCACCCGCGATTTCTGCTACCGGTTCACTCGAACGGGTCCAAACCGGCTGAATACCACCTCTGCAGGGGAGGAGAAGCAAAGGGGAGGGGAGGGATTTCTGACTCAGGAGAATAGAGAAAAAGAAACAGCATCACAAAGACACCACTCCTCTACAATAAAAAAAAATGATTTTTCTATTTCTGTTTTGAAAAATCAAACAGCAATAAAAATGGCATCAGAACATGACCAGTGCTTTGAAGATTAATAAACTCTTATTGAGGCTTGAGGAGGATTTTTCTGTTCATCCTCCTCAAGCTAGTGGGTGCACACATGCAAGTGCAACTCCACTCATGTAAGTGAGAAGAGAAGCCTTTGGGGCACAGTTTCACGCTCTTTCAGGCTTCTCCATGCCAAAAGCTTTTGCAAAAGGACGGAAGGCCTGAAGCAGCATGAGATTGCTACCCCAAAGTCTTTCGGCCGTTTGCAGAAGCTTTTGGCGTGGAGAAAAGAAGCCTTGGGGGGCATGGTCTCATGGTCCTTCAGACTCACTGCTGCTGCCCGACGCTCCAAAAACGGATTGGGTGTCCTGTGCAGGCAAAGTCAGCAAAGCTGAGTCAGCAAAGCTGAGCAAAGTTTGGATATCCCACTCAGCCTCTGCTCTCACTGGTCTACATTGGGAGCATTGGGAGCAGGTGGCTTGGTGGCCTGGCTGGGGGAGGGGAGAGGGGAACCAGGCTGCCCAAGAGGTGGGCTGGCACGCGCATGCAGCTCCACTCATGCAAGACAAAAGTCAAGTCTTTGGGGCGCCACTCGCACGAATGGTGCGTGCACATCAGCCCACTGTCAGGGTTCCAAGTAACACCGCTAACGAAAGGACACTCTGAGGCTTGAGTTTCCTCAAAGTTCAATTTTGTTAGAGATGTCATATTGGCACATCTGGGAAAACCTCAAGCTTCCATGTTTTCTCCACCCAAAGGAAAGTTCAAGACACTGCCGAACACCCACATCAGGGGCAGGTTTCAAAAACCGTCGCTACCAGTTCGCTCGTGGGTGTGCATTTGCTCGCGCTCATGCTTGCCCCTTCTGCACATGCGCAGAAGCGCCCGAGTGGGTGGGCGGAGCTTCCCACCGCCGCCGCCACCGCTTCCCCACTGACCCACATGTGGTCCAATCCAAACACCGTGACGACTGGAGATGCCTCCCAGTTCCAACCCTCCAGGTGCAAGGCAAGATGGCCTTGACTTTCTAAGAAAGGAATGTTATTATGACTATATATCACCCATGCTCCATACAATTCCCCTCTCCCAATTTCCCACAGTAGTAAATATGGCAGGTCTGAAGATCCAATGAAAAAGATGGCTTTTAGGCCTGTCACCCACTTTTTATCCGTCCTGGTTCTGAATAGGCCACAGTCTAGTAGTGGCCCGGGGGTTGGGGACCCCTGTGCTAGGAGTAACAAAAACTATACATTTTTGCATGTCCTTATTCCTCCTTTACATTTGTTTTGTTTCCTTTCCTAAAAAACACCCAACTCTGAAAGAAATCTAAAATAGGCTTTCACATTTTCTGGATGTTTTCTAATCTATTCATTTCTGAATAGATTAACATAGCATTGTTTTGTATGGGCCTCTTTCACAAACACAATCATTTTTATAGCACTATTCTCATATGTATTTTTTGCTTTGAAAAATGCCTTACATAATTCTCTAAATATAAAAAAAACAAACCAGCACATTTCAAGCCACATTTTGATTTTAGGAAATGTCATTTTGTAAATTTTGTAGGGGAAGAAAAACAAGAGCTCATACAATAATGAATTAGAAGGTTTTTTTGATTTTTTTTTTTTTGGGAAAAATCTGGTGAAATAGTACATTTCATACGTTAGTCAATAAAATGAAATTTCTATATCCATAAATATATTGCAATACCATAATGATGAAATGTTTGATAATATCAGCATACAAACCAGGGGTGAAATGCTTCCGGTTCAGACCAGTTCGGCTGAACTGGTAGCCATGGTGGCTGGTGGTTCGAAGAACTGTTAGCGATGGTGGTGTGAGGCTCCTCCCACCCGCCTGGTCATCACTACTTCCTGGTTTTAACCAGGAAGTAACCTGTTTTTTTACCCTCTGCACATGCGCAGAAGGATTTGCGCATGCGCAGAGGGTCCACACGTGGGGCGCATGCACTTCCGAACCAGTTGGGAAGGTAAGTAGATACAAACCTTGTACAATTATGAGAAGCCTAACACGTGTTATTATTACTGTACTCTAAATCTCTAAAATGCTGCGGGCAGTGATGGGTTGCTCCCGGTTCGGCCCGGTTCAAGCAAGCCGGTAGTGGTGATGATGTGACGTCACCGAACTGGTTCTCTTTGACTGGGAGCTGGGCTCTCCCGTCTGCCCCCGTGTTATTCCTACCTTTATTTCTCATTTTATAGCCCAACTGACAGGCGCAGCAGAGTGGATTGCCACACCTCAGCTGGGCAGAAACCTAATGCCCTTGCACGGAGTGCAAGTTTGGCGCACGTACGAGCGAAGCAAACATGCGAGTGGCCCTTGTGCGCAAAGCGCGTGAGTGAAGAGAACCGGTGGTAACACCGGTTGGAACCCACCACTGGCTGTGGGATAAAGAATATTCATGCTTCTTAGATAGCAGAAGCAGCCTAGAACAACCTCTCCAATTCCTTTTGCGAATCTAGACCAGGGGTCTCCAACCTTGGCAACTTTAAGACTTGTGGACTTCAACTCCCAAAGACCCCTGATCTGGACTAAATGTGGTTAAGTGATAATAAAAGATGCCCAAAAGAAATAATCCACCAACTAGATACTTTCCATGGCAGAATTGAATGATAATGTGATATTTCTTTTCCAGAGCCCAGAAGAGTTAGAAGATGTATCTGACCTTGAAGAAGACCATGATGCCCACAGTCGCACCAGTATTCAGACAGAAGGAAAAACTGATAGGGTAAGTACGGAAAATAGCTGAACAGAATGCCAATATATTGCTATCTTCTTCCACCAGTTACAGCATAACATATTGTTACAGCAAAATAGATGCATAATGAACAGGAAAAAGATTGAAAGTCTAAATACTAAACGTTTAATTAAATTTGTCTGCTCAAAATACAGAATTGTTCTATTCCATGAGTTTTACTTCAACTAGCCAGCCTAAAAAAATTGGATATTATTACTATTAAGGAGCTTCATATCCTGCTACCAATTTAAATGAGTTTGAAATGATTTTAATGTTAGAAGTGCATATCAGTGGGAAGGAAGAAGTCCGTTTGGGGTGGGTTTTTAAGGAGACTGATCAACTTGCAGTCTCTGAATTAACTCTTCTGCAATGCAGAAAATACGTACATTAGGAAAAGTTGCATTAATAATCAACAAATTATTATATTAAAGTTGCAACCCACCCACACACATACATATAGACCAAGGGTGTCAAACTCAAGGCCTGCAGGCCGGATCCGTGCACAGCCCCAGAGCTTCGTTTTCACTGGCAGAGGGGTGCAGGAGGCCATTAGAGCCAAAAACAGAGCTTGAGCTCCCGTTTTCGCTGGCAGAGAGCTCGAGCCACCACTGGCACCCCTGACATGAGTGATGTCAAGCTGGCCACGCCCCCCACCCTGGTCATGGCCCCTCCCATCCCACTGAGGTCAAATACAACCCTGATGCAGCCCTCAATATAATTGAGTTTGACACCCCTGATATAGACAAACAACCAGATGCGCGCACACGCACACATACAATGTCGTGCATAATCTCAGATTACTGAGAAGTGGAAGGGTATCTTGCAAATAGCCTGAATAGGTTAGGTTTTCTATTTTTAAATGGTCCGTCTAGACAGTCTGTGGCCAGGTTATAGAACAAGTCCAACAATTTACTTATCTTGACAGCATTATATCTATCGATGGAGGTACAGATTTCTCCTCAAGTTCTATGCTTTAAGGAGCTCCAGAAGCCTAGTGTTGGTCAGTTGAGCTGTTTCATATCATAAGTCTTTCCAACCTTCAGCAAATTATTTGGTTTGTAGAAATGGGGAAGAAATGGAGGTAGTCACAGATTTTATTTTCCTGGGCTCCAAGATCACCACAGAAGAAATTAAACGACGCTTGCTCCTGGGGAGGAAAGCTATGGCAAATCTAGACAGCATACTAAAAAGCAGAGACATCACCCTGCCAACAAAAGTGCATATAGTCAAGGCTATGGTTTTCCCAGTTGCAATGTATGGCTGTAAAAGTTGGACCATAAGAAAGTTGGACCATAAGAAAGGCTGAGCGCCAAAGAATTGAGGCCTTTGAACTATGGTGCTGGAGAAGACTCCTGAGAGTCCCTTGGACCGCAAGGCGATCAAACTGGTCAGTCCTAGAGGAGATCAACCCTGACTGCTCTTTAGAAGACCAGATTCTGAAGATGAAACTCAAATACTTTGGCCACCTAATATGAAGGAGGAACTACTGGAGAAGAGCCTAATGCTGGGAACAATTGAGGGCAAAAGAAGAAGGGGACGGCAGAGAATGAGGTGGCTAGATGGACTCACTGAAGCAGTCGGTGTGAGCTTAAATGGACTCCAGAGGATGGTAGAGGACAGGAAGGCCTGGAGGAATATTGTCCATGGTGTTACAATGGGTCGGACACGACTTCGCAACTAACAACAACAACAACAACAAAAGAGAAGTCATTATTTTTGAGATACCAGTGTTGCTGCTATTACTTTTTTGACAACTCAGAGCCTACCTATTGCTTCTGCTTTTCAGCTTTCCAAATGACTAATTTCTCAATAGAGTTTTATATATAATTTCCCCCCCACTTCCTCCATTCATAGTCCACAATACTTACATGGCATTTATTATATGTATTTATGCATATTCAAATAATATAGATTGCATGGTAATAATTATCAGTGAATACTTGTGATTATAGAAATGAGATTCAGACAAATGCTTCTGGTTGAGCTACTAAGTTTCCATCTGCAACGATGTCCTTGAAAAGCTATCCCTTTATTAAGACTTAAATTTTTTAGCTTTTATATGATCATTACAGCGTCGTGTTTGTATTTGGTCATTGCTTGTGTGATTTTCATCTTGTTAGCATCATTAAAGCAATCTGATTTGGTATGGGGAATTCCCCACAGTGCGTAGTGCTGGCAATTTCAGGAGAAGAAGAAATCGGATATCGTCTTTATTCATTTGACTTTAAAATCTAGAATAGAGGACATGGAATTGATACTGGGGAAAACAGAAAAAAAGTCTGTTTCACTAAAAATTCATGCCTCCTGCAGTATTATAATAAAACACAAAGTACATTGAAAGAAAGGAAATGGGCAGAATAAGACTGCATAATTTCCCTGAAGGGGAATTTCTGATGTCTTGGTGTTACAGGATAGCTGAAAATCCCCTTGTGAAATAGAGACCCTCCTTCAGGAAAACGGCACCGTTCTTGGCCATTTGATCTCATAGCTCAAAACAGGCAGAAAGTGAGATGATTCTTTAAAGTCTTCCTAACGCCTTTTGATGTTTTAAAGCTTCCTGTCTTTGTTCGTGTAATATCCATGGGCAAAACCAGAAATACGTAGATCCTTTCTCCAGATGCAAAGCTGAAAGGGAGAAAATGAATTCCGATCCTGGTTTTTGAGGGAGGCGGGAGCCTGTTCAAATAAAGAAATATATATCTGAAAGAGGAAAAGTAGAAACTGCTTTTTGTTCTGCAAACACGAGCCTTTGTAAAGTGAATCATTTTACCTCAGACTTTCCCTAACTTAGCAGGTAGAATCCCTCAGTTGGCTATAGATAAATGGGAATCTTTTAAATGGTTTCTAAAGAAACTTTTTCCTAAAAGTTATCCTAATTGACTTGTGACTGTGCTTGGGATTGGGCTATTCAGGCTGCAGATAGAATGAAATCATCATCATCATTTAATGATCCCATAATCCCTTGTGGGATAGAGTCTGGGCAATGGAGCTAGCAGAGTATTTAATGTCCGGATGCCCTTCCTGTTGCCAATGTGGAGTTATGTTCATCAGATACATTCTCACTGTGCCCAGAGAGAGAGAAATATCTGCCTCTACCTAGGATCAAACTCACAGCCTCCTGATTGTGCGGCGAGAGCCTCACCTCTAAGCCACGTCACCACTCTTGCAGATAGAATGAAATACCAGAACTAAAATAAAAACATTTTAATCTGACCTTAATGTCCTTTGATAAACAATGTAATTCAACCCTATGGATGTATCATCCGAATTGGCTTTATTTAGCTTCTATAGTTCCTCAGTACATATATGACAATGAATATAAGAAAAAAAATTGTGGTGGAACATAGTGTGTGATGCAGTTCAGATCCATTCCTTAGTGCAGAAAATTACCAGAAAATTCAGCATCAAAAAGAATAACACAATGTTAGCATTCCTTCAACAATTGTCCCTAGTCAATTGGTTGATTGGTTTAATGTGTTTGCATTAGTTCATGACAGAATTTTTTAAAAAAACCCTGTATAATAATGTTGTATTCAATATAATGCAACTACAACTCCTTAAGAAACCTACAGGGACATTATGTTATTTATAAAAACCTTTTATAGAATATATCTTGTATCCAATACAATGCAACTATCGCAACTCTTTAAGAAATCTACAGAGATAATCATGTTATTTATATAAACTCTTGGGATCATAGAATGTATCTTAGTTAATATACAAGAGCTAACTGGCTTGCTATCCTCTCAAGTAGTTAATAATACTTTCTAATTTTAACCCCACATAGAATAAAACTGAAGATGGATCATAATTATTTATAAGCAGTTTTCACTGCTCCAAATCACGTTCATATATTAATGGGATAGTAAAATGCTTTCAGGCTAAAACTGTAGCTATATTTATGGAATAAAGGCACTTAATCATGCTTATTTGTATCTTGGGACATTTTGAATCCAAATCTAACCTCTCATACTTTGTTTTTATATATTAACACTAGCTGAGGCCTTTTATAAGAAAAATGATCAGATAGCAAAAATCAGAAGAGTCTGCTAAGCTCTTTGGCTTTCAAGCAGAAAATATATTGGCACTCTCTGAAATGTTTATTGTAAAAACATTAAATCCTAACACATTATATTGATATGAGCCACGGTGGCGCAGTTGTTAGAGTGCAGTACTGTAGGCTACTTCTGCTGACTTCCAGCTGCCTCCAATTTGGCAGGTCGAATCTCACCAGGCTCAAGGTTGACTCAGCCTTCCATCCTTCCGAGATGGGTAAAATGAGGAGCCACATTGTTGGGGGCAAGAGGCTGACTCTGTAAATTTGCTTAGAGAGGGTTGTAAAGCACCGTAAAGCGGTACATAAGTCTAAGTGCTATTGCTGTTGGGATCATTAAATAAGCACCTCACAAGTCATAAACATTCATTTGGGATGGGGAATATGAGTTGGAAGACCCTTTTCATCTGGAGAACCTCATGCGATACCCAAGGTGGAAGGAATGTAAAAGCAAATGAGGATGTTAGTCACACAAAGTCCTGTGTGTCATACATGTGATATGTCATCCATATGATGCACATAAAAAAGGGAGGGTATTCATCACATACTGTGTTTTCCCGAAAATAAGACCCTGTCTTATATTTTTTGAACCCCGAAATAAGTGCTTGGCCTTATTTTCGGGGAGGTCTTATTATTTTGGGGCATGTAGAGCAAGATAGGGCTCCTCTTGCCATCTTACCTGATTTCCAGCTCTGTCTCTCTAACTCTAACCAGAGGAAATTTTTTATTTTATTTTATTTTATTAAAATTTATATGCCGTCCTTCTCCCGAAGGACTCGGGGCGGCTCACAAGTACAAAATGACAATAAAAACAATATCACTAAGTAGCATTAAAAATCCAATTTAAAATCCCACAGTTAACTAAAAAACCCAACCAGATCAGGTGATTTGAGTAAAAAGCCAGGTCTTAAGATCTTTGCGGAAGGAACAGAGATCG